TAGTCTAAATCTTTGAATTGTATCTTACCTTGGGGCAGCAGCGGGAGCAGTTGTCGCAGCGAATGGGCTTGACGTGACCGCGGCCCTTCTTGTTACGTCCGTGATTTCTGCGCTTGGTGGTCTACAAAAAATAGTAATGAATTGTCATTGTTAGTCGTGTTAATGGAATTTGAATCTAATAATACATGCTCAGCTTGTTTGAATTTCCACATTTTCCATGACATTAACATGAATGGGATAAAGCCGCTCCTGAAATTGCACGGGTCATGTTTTTAGGGTGCAATAGTTGAGGATACGCATGGATTCTCTTTCTTGGATGGATGGAGGTGTGGCCAACGGATACGTACCATTTTGCCTTCGTCTAGCTATCACAAAATACTTGAAGGATGGATGTAAGAGAAGGAGCATCAGATTCTACACCCACAATGTATTTTTGGACTCTCCCTCCTGCTCAGGCTCTGTTTCCCTTTCAGCTATACTTGTCCCAAAGACCTTCAAAACCCATATAAATCAAGCTGGGGTTGGGTTTAATCCTCGCAGTAGAATAATTAAATCAAACAGTTTTGAGGGATTGTCGCCCAAGGTTAAGTCTAGTCATTAACATTGGTTTTCCTGTTCCTAAACAGAGTGCATCACCCACCAGGGGCCGTTACAACTCCTTAAGGACTAAGGGCCTGGCTCATTCATATCAACCCAAGGTTTCTTGGAAGTCATCTTCTGGCCATAATAATCAACAAGTGCTAATGCTTATATCCTCGAATATAATATAATCTTGTACCTATAAAAATGTGTATATACATCGACTATCTTTGCCATCTAGGATGGTTTTTATATCAAATGCCTTATGTAAATCAAGTCCGCTGATAGATACGACAGAATCTCCTCTAAAAGGGCACTGGAATATTCCCTTGGACACTAGCCAATCATCACTGATACTCCAGCTAAAATGTATGGGTTATGGACTAATTTACAGGGAATATGTGAGGGTATGTGTCTGTTCCCTTTTGGTGGATAACTTGCCATATTGATACTCTCTCAGTGAAATACTGGCGTGTACCTTTCACAGTGTTTGGGTGATATAGGCTGGCTGTGGCTGTCTAATGTTTAGATATAACGAAGGGTCAGACTATTATTTTGCTCAAAGAAGAAACGCCAGATTAAAGGGACCCGAAACCTTTATGTGGATAAACGGTTGCGCGTTCGCGTTGCATAGTTGTATGTTAAGCATATTTCTGTGTTTTAAAGGAAACACACGGCTACATCCAGGCCTACACATTCTACTCACATCGTATAAAAATAAACGCGTTTCCAAAGATATGTCGTCTCAGAGTATTTTGAACGTTTTCTTTTTCACCTATCCTTTAAACCGTTTTTACAGCTTCATATATTTGACAAAGCGTAAGGGTGCCATAGTGCAAACTATCATACTCTAGCTACACAGGTTGCTCCAGCAAGAAAGACCAACTAAAAAAGGACATACAAAGCTTAAGCTGATATTCGTGAGATATTCTATAAATCCTGATGAACAAGGAAAATGTTTTGAATAAGAGCCAAATCACAGGCATAGCTGTCGATAATATTCATCGCGATGGGGATACTCTATGCAGCCAAACCAAGAGCCACCATGCTGGGTCTCTCAAGAGGCAGACTTCACGCAAGAGAGTCATTTCCCAAGTCAATGGTTTTGAGGACAACCACGCCACAGCAAACAACCCTAAAAAGCGAGCGCAACAATTTACGAAAGCAGATTTTACAAAGAATGATAACTCTAAAGTCTCAAATGTGTCATCGAAACACTCCCAGATTGGCTTTGTATGGCCAGACATGTCAGACATGACATGTTGTGGTGAAGATAGAGGCGAAGGCTGGTTCAACACATCTATACTTGAATCTCAGGCAACATTATTCTCCTCTCCCAGTCATGAATATACCCCAGCATCGCAAGCATACTACACCGAAGCAGGAGGACTACCAGCACAAGAAGAAAAACAAGATATTTCGGAATATGCATCGCTGCTGTATAAACTGGAGCGCGACTTGTCAAGATTTTGTCCTAACGTGGCCGATTCGAGAGACTTTGTGAGACATCCATTGCTTTCATCACAAATGCGACCCATTCTTATAGACTGGATGATGGAGGTCTGCTCGGATTACCGGTTTCACAGAAAGACCCTTCAGCTGGCGATATCCTATTTCGACCAGGTCATGAGCATCGAAGGGGAGATACCACCAACCGAACTGCAATGCTATGGTTCTGCTTGCCTGTCATTGGCAATAAAGACTGAGGAGTCTTATCACCCCAAACTCCGTGACCTCACCGAAATATCACAGGGCGCCTTTACTTTAAGCGAGCTCAGAGATTGCGAGCAGCATGTTTTGCGTATTATCGGGTACAATCTCTCTACGCCAACAATTCTGGATTTTCTTTGTCTCTTCTTCCAGCAAATAAGCACAGAGATCCGATGCTTGAAGCGGCTATCTGATGAATGCCTATCTGAAAAACAAGAAAATTTGCACAGCCTAACATCTGGAATAAATGTCATACCAAGTCTCGCCAAGCTCGATTCCGAAGCTACGCTTTTTTCAAGCCCACCACTTCGACCACATGCCAGTGGGGTTTATACACCCGAAAATATGCATGTCTTTGCTTCGCCAGTATCCAAGGGTATTGAAATATTGAGTATTTATGACAAGGACCCCAGTGAACCTAATCCACAGATGCAATCATCTAAAGCGCAACAGGATTCTACATATGATAACAGTAGTCACTACACAAACCAGCCATTTCTCCACAAAGAATCCAAATACTTGCATCGTATTTTTTCTGATCATCCATTTACGATTGCTTGTGACTATATTGATTTGGCCCTCCACGGACACCAATTTTTGAGGTTTAAATACTCGATGGTAGCTGCCGCCGCAATGTTCATATCATTTAACGATTGCAACGTACCGTTCACAAGCGACCAGTTCTTTGGATCAACTGGGTATACAGTCTCTGAAATCCAACAATGCGTCGACCACATAGAGCAACTCATAACAGCTACCAATTTGCGGAGTCGTATTGGAAATATCCCTGTACCAATCACACAGACACCAAAGATCTATTATAGCTGTTGTGAAAAGGAATCTCGTTTTGGCATCAAATGGCTACAAAGAATCCCAGCAGACGAAATATGGGCTTTCCAACCTCACCATCGCCATATGCTTGGCGAATTAGAAAATGTTCCTCTATGATAAATACCCTAACGTCACCACTCATTCCTCTGTAATATACTTTCCCATTCACTACATTACATAGTCACGCTTTTAGAATAAATTATTTAGATTTCTCTAATATATATATTTATTTAAATCCTCTATATCAGTCCAAAAATATCAACGCATTTGTATCTCTAAAAATCCTCTTGGTGTTTATCACTTTTAATTCGGGTCCAGGTCATTGTAGTATCTATGCAGAAAAGCGCATCAGTGTATTATTAGGCTGTTTGGTTTAGCTTTGAAGAGCAAAAATGCTGGAAATGTGGATGTTTACTCAATGCGTTCATAAGTGCTTACCTTTGTTGAGAACTAATTCGATCTTTTTGGATAGGATTTCATAGCTTGAAGACTCCGGGTTGATTTTCTAGAGAATTATAAAAACATAGCATGTCATAGAATGGTCAATCAAAATTAAAGTATAATGCTGATAAAACCAGCAAGAAGCACGCCGTATTGTTTAGAAAACTTACAGAGTAAAGATTCCAGGTAGATTTATAGGTTTGCCCATCCTTGGTGGTAATATCAAGTTCCAGATTTTGGTCGTCAATGAACTTGACCAAAGATTTGTCCTTATCAGCGCTTTTAATATACACTGAAACGATCACATTTTGCGGATTTTGATAGAAATCTTTTCTGATTTTGGCTGGCTCATTGGTTTTTGTACCAACAAACAAATGTAATCCATCTCTGCAGCCTTTGATGTTAAAGAGCTCTTCATAGTCCATAACACGCTTCTTGCAGCACGACCATCCTCTTGCGCCTTCATGAAATATGGGGCTGCCAGGGTGGAATCGGCACTTTTCCTTTCTGGACTCAGCATCTTTATAAGAAGCCGAACAGCAATGTCTCTTACACTTGGTTCCTGGCTCGATGGTAATGTCTACAGGATCTTCATCGATGTAATAGTCCTTCTTGACCTTTTCTTTGTGTTCTGGGTTTTGCAATGCATTATGTATAGACGGCGAGACCCCATTGTTGGAAACTTGGGCATTTCCATAAACTTCTGTTTCACCTTCTTTTTTGGTAATTTCATGGTTTTCGACTGATGAAATCGATGGTGTAGCTGGTGGTGTTGACTCTTTATTGCTTGAATGACTTCCTAGCTTACATCCTGGACAGTTTTGAAAGTCGTCAAAGTCAATAAAAGATTTGTTACAGCATGGCCACTTTTTTAAACCCTCATGGAATACTGGCTTCGCGTCATGATATTGGCAGTCCATTGAGCCATTCGTGGCCTCATCAAACTGCTTTTTGCAACCGAATCTCTGGCAAACTGAAGTCATTGTTATGTGACACGTTGAAAGATGATGGCCTTTTTTTTAGAGAAAATAGAATTTGATTTAAGCTTTTTGCAATACTCTATTATGGTATAAATGTCCAACAATAAAACAAAATCTCTACCTAAACCCAATGAATACAACTTTGCATAACAATTGCTTTATAGCATTAAACTGTGGATAAGTATCGATATTGTCTTTAGAAAGCACATTCAGGATATTGTATTAGTGAAGAATATAAGCCAAATGACTATGATTTGCCCCTTTAACATTCTCTCCATTCCAAGTGTATTCAAATATATTCTAAATAAACTTGAATTATTTCTATTTATTATGATTTGTTCTCAATTGACGGTCCTAGGTCATTTAGAATGGCTCTGAACAAACACAGTCTACTAGAAGGTTGTTGAAGAAAAGTTTTATATACTCGATCTGAACAAGGGAGGGCTTTTAATGAGCAGATCCGTTATAGTCCAGTGGTTAGGATTCCTGGCTCTCACCCAGGCGGCCCGGGTTCAATTCCCGGTAACGGAATTTATTCTTTTGAACCTAAGGTTAATGTGTAAAGGCAATGTGTTTTTTTTATAAACTGCAACGATTTCTCAATAAAATAACTGATAAGGATGGTTTTGTTGTCCGTCGTTGTTAAACTTTTTAAATTTGACTATAGGTGGTGATCTGATTGTGAATTATTTTATCAAACCACATGATCAGTTTAATTGGTGGCACTGTCGATCTCTAACACTTCAACGGCAGGACTAGGGCTCTGGAGCCCGTGAGGGACCCATTAATCCTCCAAACACATGAAATAGATGACTACGTATACGATATCATGTGCGTGGGAATACCTAAAGGGGTTTAAGCACACGAAATCAAGCCATTCCTTTTGTTTTTTAACAATCTTCTTCTTTTGTACTTAGCTTTGCACCCTATTTTTATCAATAGATCTCATACACCACCTTACTTTTGTTCAGCAGTATATAAAATAGAAATATATAATGTCTGGTCTTCGAATTTTGGTTGGCGTTAAGCGTGTGGTAGACTTTGCTGCCAAGGTCCGCGTAAACTCACAGCAAACTGGCGTCGAGACTGCTAATGTCAAGCACAGCATGAACCCCTTCGATGAAATAGCTGTTGAGGAAGCTATTCGGCTCCGCGAGAAACTAGGAAAGGACAAGGTGACGGAAATCATAGCTCTCACATGTGGCCCCAAAAAGTCACAAGAAACGCTTAGAACAGCACTTGCCATGGGAGCAGACAAAGGAGTACACGTCGAAGTTGCCGATGGGCAAATCCTTGAGCCACTTGCTGTTGCAAAGCTGTTCAGCAAGATTGTCGAGAAGGAGAAGCCTGATCTCATATTGCTGGGCAAACAAGCAATCGACGATGACTCCAACCAGACCGGCCAGATGCTCGCAGGATTGTTGTCTTGGCCTCAGGTATGATGTGATAGCTTTATAGTAGACCTGACAACAATATAGATATACCTCTACACTGATGCTACTCTGGCTGAATAGATATTTACATCAGACTGCTAATTCAAACCATCATTGCGTTGGTACCATGTATATATAATGTATATATAGGCGACATTTGCATCAAAGCTTGATATACAGGACAAGCTATTGACTGTTGTCCGTGAGGTTGATGGTGGTTTAGAAACCATCGCAACCAAGCTTCCCGCAGTAGTCACTGCAGACTTGCGTCTGAACGAACCACGCTATGCCTCATTGCCCAACATCATGAAGGCTAAAAAGAAGAAGATCGAAACCCTGACCCCAAAGGACCTCAATGTTGATGTCACCCAGAGACTGGAGACCCTAAAGGTTACCGAGCCACCCAAGCGCAAGGGGGGCATAGTTGTAGGAAGTGTTGATGAGCTAATCGACAAACTTCGTAACGAGGCTGGCGTGTTGTAAATCACATAGCTTAATTTCAAAAACTGTTTCTCAGGAGCAAATACCAACATACTTTCTACGATCTTTGAGCTTTAAATGGCACCCCACTACATGATCCACTCTATAATTTCATTTCAGTTGTGATAAAAGAACTTTAAATATAAAATATCATAGTTATTGGTGCCATTAACTTTGATCGCATTATAGGGGAGGTTGGGTTTAGTACTTATATTAAGTGTAAATGCTAGGTTTTTCAATGATAAGGAGATATAACAGTGCCGAAGTAATAAGTTAAAGATGCTACAGGTTGGTAAATCAAAATATCTTTGTGAAGGGGAAATTGAAGTGGGAGTATGTATTGTGAGACTACGGAAGTACAAATATTATAAACGGAAGGGAGTGCTATTTTTCAAGTCTTTTTACTTTTGGAGAAGGCCCGGATTCTTCGATGTGTCTCTTTTTGACGGAAAGTCCGAGCTCAGCTAAAGAGCTCTGATCCAGGTTGTGGAGATGCTTGATGTGGTTAAGACAAGTAGTTGAGGTGGCAAACTTTTTTGAGCATGTGTCTATAGGGCATACAAAGGGCTTTTCGCCGGTGTGCATCCGCTGGTGTCTTGTAACCTGATCGGGCCTCGAGAATGTTTTTCCACAGGCAACATCGGGACACTTGAAGGGCCTTTCGCCAGTATGGACACGCATATGCTTTGTTAGATTCGAAGATTCGGCAAACCTCTTTGTGCAGCCTGTGTGGCGGCACTGGTAGGGTCGTTCGCCCGTATGGGTTCTTAGGTGGATTGTGAGCGCACTAGAAACAGCAAACTCCTTCTCGCAGCCATTCTCTGTGCATTTGTAGGGCTTTTCGCCAGTGTGGGTGCGCATATGCTGCTGCATTATATGGGCTTCAGAAAACTTCTTTTTGCAAGTATCGCAGGAGAACGGCTTATCCCCAGTATGTGTCTGAATGTGCCGCATGGCACGCTGTCTTTGAGTAAAAGGCTTTCCATTGCGCTCACAGCCCTCCCACTCACAAACGTACTCGTGTCTTCCACTGCCAACATGCGTGGTTGAAAGATGGTTCGTTAGCCCGTCGATATGGTCGTACTCTTCGTGGCATTGTTTCCAGTGGCACCTGTGCAATATGCGCACCGCTCCTAAATGCTCTCGGCATACGTGCTGTATAAGGTCGTTTGTATCATTCTTTAGAGCATGACACGACGCCCATTTGCACAAAAAGTCACTAGTAACGCCCTGGAAGTCCATTTGTTCTACTTTTAGAACTTCTCTAACAACCAAGTCTGGTTCTGGACTATCTGCACCCCTTGTCCTATTGACATTATCATCTCCATCAGCCGCCTTGGGGCTATTTTTTCCTTGGGCGCCAGCTTTGGTACTGCCTTTTCGTGACTTTGATGTGTCTTTCTCGGTGAGAATCGTAGGTTGCTGGCTCGATCTGTTAGTTGCTACATGTAACTTATACAAATGTCTCACTAAGTCGTCGACTGAAGTGAATATCTGTGCACAAGTTGACCAGAGACATTGCCTTGGCTGCCGCTTGCCATCGCCATTTGCCTGAGATTTGTTTAGTTCTTCGACAACAAACGAGTTTGCTTCAGCCGGCTGGCCTGTTCCTGGGTCGGTATGGCTTAGGGAGCAAACTGAATACGCTACTTTTAGTGGTGATGTATTGGAGCTCACAGGCCTTTCTTTTGTGCAATTCCCACTGGGTTCAGCTAGACTAGAACGTGTATAGATTTCTTTTGTGGATGGTGGGATATCCATATCTTGATTCGGCCTGGCTGTTGGGGGCTGGGAGTTGCTATTCGATGCACTAGTATAGCTGGACAATGAACTTTTCGGTGCTGATGGTGACACTACACCAAGCAGCCTATCAATACGCATCCCACCAGAAAATTGCGAGCTGGTTCTTAGAGTGGGTATTGTAGAGCATGACCCAAGTTTCCCTCCTATGGAGGAGCCAAGCCCCAAGCTTGAAAGAGAAGGCAGAACTTGGTTGCTCCTATTCGACGAACTTTTGACAGTCAGTGAAGTATAAGTCGATGATCCCGTCCCCGTTGCTGGTGGGCGAAGGGGTGGCAAATGGTTAGCAGGATATTTTTCATGGACATGGTAATTTGCTGAATTGCCAGTATTTGGATGCTTGGCCTTGTTGAATTCTGAAGACTCGCGGGAAATAAGCTCCGATACCGATGGCAGGACCGGTGTTTCTGCTACTACGCTGCAGGCATATTCCTGGCCGTCTTGAGCTCCACTGCTAGTGATATTGCTACTACTATCATTACTAACATTGTTGTATATTCCTACATTACTACCAGCATCCGTAATAAGTTTGTTGCGTGTATTGGTCGTACTTAAAATTAGTTTGTTAATTTCCCCTCCCTCATGGCTCTCTTCTTGCCTTTTATTTTCGTAATCCAAATTGAAAACCATCAGGGAATTTGGTAAGAAAAAGAGTGAAACTTGAAAAGTAACCAAGGTAAAAATCAAAGACTGCGAGGTTTGGCGTACAAATACCCTTCTCTCTCTGAGCCGCAAGGGGGGAGCCATTATGGCCTAAAGTCTGAAATTATCATTTATAAGCCAATTAAAATCTGGAAGGAAACCCGCTTTAAAGTTGGACGAATAGCAACAGAAAAGGATAAATTGTCAAGGATGGCCATGGGGCAAACGAATACATATATAAATGATCTGCTGTTTGCCTATTGATACACAAGGGGCCTATGGAACCCAGAAAAATATAGCATAGTGTGAGCTGGATAGATGTTATTTACTAATTTGTATTGAGATTGAAAAATAAAATAAAATAATATTCATTAAAAGCTATTCAAAAAGGTTCTGAAAAGAGATGGGGTGAGGGTGCTGCTTGAGGAATTCAATCTGCTTTTCTAATTGACGAATACGTTCAGCTAGATCCGACTCTCGTTGTTGGGAAGATGACTTTTCAGACTCAAGGATCTTTACCTGGGTGGTAAGGGAGATATTCTCAGTCTCAAGCTCAGTAACTCGAGTTTCCAGTGTTTCAATTCGAAGTATCTTTCTCATTCGTGAACGACGTGCAGCATCTGTGTTCTTTTGACGTTTCAGGGCAATTGGATCAACACTCTTGTCTGAAGATGGCTCAGTCTGCTCAGAGTCATCAGCCTTGATGGGCTTAGCTACTTCTACCGGCGTGGGAGCAGCAACCTCTGTTGGCATCTTGGGGGATGGTTCATCTGTAGTCATAAGCTCGGCTAGGATCTTGTCCTTATGCTTATTGTTACCAGTTCTCCTCCGCTTAAGAGCAAGCTGAGGAGGGAGAGATGCAAGGAACTCGCTGTCTCGTCGCTTACGAGCTACCTCAGCTTTAAGCGTATGTGTTGAGGGAGAGGAGGGATGATTTTTTGGTGCAGAGTAAATGCTTTCGGTAGGTTCATGTGTGATATCCAACATAGGGCTACCGAAAACATCTATGGTGCTCTGACTAGCGGACTTTGACGTTAACTGAGAACAGGAGGCTGAGGCCGTCGACGATGTGATGTTATTAGTAGCAGAAGACTCGGTAGGCGACTGACATGGTATAATATCAGGGAACAGAGCAGAAAGAGCATAAGATGAAGATATGTCATGTGAAGCACTGGT